AGAACAAACAGTTACCAAAGGGAAGGGGAGAGGAAATATAAGGGCAGGGAATTAAGAGATATAAACTGTCATATATAAAATAAACTATAAAGATATATTGTACAACACAGGAAATACAGGCAATATTTTATAAGAACTCTAAATGGAGAATAACCTTTAATAATTGTGAATTACCATATTGTACATCTGTAGCTTATTATTTTTAATGTACATCAACTATACTTCAGTTGAGCAAAAAGAATATTAGACATTTGTTTTAAAAAATTAAAAATTGTTTCCTTGGTTTGTTAGTTTCCATTTAATTGTATTTTTTTTTTATTTGAAAGTTTAAAGTCAGCCTGCATTCCTTGGCTCATTCACTCCTTCCTCCAGCTTCAAAGCCAGGAACTGGCATCTCTCTAACCCTTCTTCACTAATTGCATCTGCCTCTGACTCTTCTCTTCTGCCTCCCTCTTCCACTTGTACTAACCCTTGTGATTATATCTGGCTAACCTGCATTCCAGGGTAGCCTCATAATAACAAGATCAGATGATCAGCCAGCTAGCTGAAGCCTTATTATTCACAGATGTAGGAATTAGGATGTGTGCATGTCTGGTAGGCCATTATTCTACTCTCCTTAATATTTTATTATACTTTGTTTACCAGATACTACTTCTGTATACATCTCTATCTGTCCATCATCCATCTTATTTTTTGGATGCATTTCAAAGTAAGTTGCAGACATTAGTATACTTCTCCCGAAATACTTCAGTATGAGCGTCTTAGAGTGGGATTTATTGTTTGTTAACAATTTAAATTTTAAGATAAAATTTACATACAAGAAAATGCACAAATTTAAAATGTACATTTGCTGAATTTTAGCAAATACATATAGATGTGTAACCCTAAANCACTGGCAGACAGGTTCTTTACCACTAGTGCCACTGGGAAGCCCACTCCTGGGCATATATCCAGACAAAACTATAACGTGAAAAGATACTGCACTCCAGTGCTCACATCAGCATTATCTACAGTAGTCATGGACACGACACGGAAGCAGCCTAAATGTTCATCAATGGATGAATGGATAAAGAAAACGGGGTATATATACACAAGAGAATGCTACTCAATCATTAAAAAGAATGAAATAATGCCATTTGCAGCAACATGGACCTAGAGATTATCATGCTAAGTGAAGTGAATCAGAAAGAGGAAGACAAATACCATATGATATCGTTTATATGTAGAATATAAAATATGAAAACATGAACCTATTTACAAAATAAAAACAGACTCACAGACATAGAAAACAAACTTACAGTTATCAGAGGGGAAAGGGGGTAGAGAGGAATAAATTGGGAGTTTGGGATTAGCAGAAACACACTACCAAACAGAAAACAGATAAACAACAAGGACCTACTATATAGCACAGAGAAATATATTCCATATCCTGTTGATATAATAAACCATGATGGAAAAGAATATGAAAAATAACGTGTATAGATATGATAACTGAATCACTTTGCTAGATACCAGAAACTAATACAACATTGTAAATAAACTTCAACAAAAATAAAACAAAAACCCAAAAATGTCACCTTCTGAGTCCTGGGGGTTAAGACTTTGACATAAATTTGGCAGGACACAGTCCAGCCCACAGTAACATTCTGCAAGAGCTTCGTTTCTGGAGAGAAGGCGGTGGTTGGTACGGGGGGCAGAGTGGGCAGGGAGCATGTGGGGAAGGGAATGTTGCTGGTGGCTGAGCCTGAAGAGGCTGGGCCACAGAGTGGCTCGGGGTACACCACCCAGTCTCTTCCACAGAAAGAAGCAAAGGTGGTATTCAGACCAGCCAGAGAGCCTCTGTAAGAGTCCCGACAGGGCCAGAGCCTTCTGAGAGGTGCTAGAGGCCCTGGGCTTGATACAGAAGGGCTCCTGGGACGACCGCCCAGGCACGATGGGTCAGGAAGAACAGGTTCAGACTGCCAGCTTCACGAAAGGGCATGATGGTCTTATCTGCAGGAAGGGGCTGAGGTCACAGGTGCACGGATCCCACGGTGAAGGCAGGACTTCCAGGGGCTGGCCGATGGCTGAGTACAGGAAAAGACTCCGTGCTGATTGAGAGGACTGCTTTCTTCCCATCTGGGCCAAGCCTGGAGCCTTAAATGCATTTCTGATTAGAGTCAGAACAGCTTTATCTAGTGTCCAACGAAGACAGTTCATTGTACTTATGTCCAGACAAAATCACTTAAGATGGGACTCAGGAAAGAGGGTATAAGACAGACAAACAAAACTCACTTGCCGAGCTGGTTTATTTCATCCATCTAGGTATTTTTACAGTCATTCAACACATATATAGTAGATGCCAGTCACACAAATGCCCATCATGCAGTCCCCAATCCAGCAGAGCTCCCAGGCTAATCCAGGAGACAGAGGTGGGAACAAGCCCGTACTGCAGCGTGACCGCGGCTCTCACGGGGCGGCAGGACCGGTGGCCTCCCAGGAGACCAGGGTCGTGAGAGGGGAGACTCCCGGGTGTTGATGAAAAGCCCGCGTTTGTTGCCACCTGTTTCTTGAAGTGATTTTTGCAAAACCACCCTTATAACAGACAGGCTTGTGTTTGGCAAAGGGGGTGTAGAGAGGTGGGGAGGTTTTCTTACTATGCAACCCACCAGGTGGACGAGACCCTGAAAAGGAAGAGTGGGTAGAACTCTTGAGGAAAGGAAACATCATCTCTGAGGACTACAGGAAGAATGAAATGGACACAGAGAAGTTTTAGGAGATGTATTCATTCAAGAGAGATTGCTTGAGGTCCTACTGTGGCCAGGCCCAGTGTTAGGAGCAGGACTACAGTGACCAGTGGAAAGACCCCTTCCCTGTCATTCCCAAGAGTACAGGCCTTAATCAACAATTATTTGACTGTCTCAGCAAATTGAAAAGCAGAGACAGTACTTTGCCAACAAAGATCCATCTAGTCAAGGCTATGGTTTTTCCAGTAGTCATGTATGGATGTGAGAGTTGGACTGTAAAGAAAGCTGAGCGCAGAAGAATTCATGCTTTTGAACTGTGGTGTTGGAGAAGACTTTTGGGAGTCCCTTGGACTGCAAGGAGATCCAACCAGTCCATCCCAAAGGAGATCAGTCCTGGGTGTTCATCGGAAGGACTGATGTTGAAGCTGAAACTCCAATACTTTGGCCACTTGATAGGAAGAGCTGACTCATTTGAAAAGACCCTGATGTTGGGAAAGATTGAAGGCATGAGGAGAAGGGGATGACAGAGGATGAGATGGTTAGATGGCATCACTGACTCAATGGACATGAGTTTGGGTAAACTCTGGGAGGTGGTAATGGACAGGGAGACCTGGCATATTGTGGTTCATGGGGTCGCAAAGAGTCGGACACAACAGAGTGACTGAACTGAAATGAACCCAAAATATACAAAGAACTCATACAACAAACTTTTTTTTTAATCCAATTTAAAAAATGGGCAGAAAATCTGAATAGGTGTTTTTCCAAGGAAGACATATAGACGACAAATAAGCATATGAAAAGATGTTCAACATTACTAATCAGCAAAATACAAATCAAAACGTCAATGAGCTCTTACCTCACACATGTCAGAATGGTTATTATCAAAAAGACAAGAAATAAATGTTGGTGAGGATGTGGAGAAAAGGGAAGCCTGCTACAGTGTTAGTAACAATGTAAACTGGTGCAATCACTATGGAAAATGGTAGACGTTCCTCAAAAAAATTAAAAGAACTACCATACAATGCAGCAAATTCCCTCTGGAGATTTATACAAAGAAAACAAAATACAATTTGAAATGATACATGCAGCCCTAGTCAAGATACAGAAGCAACATAAGTGCCTGTCAATAGATGAATGGATAAAGAAGCTTTGGTGTGTATATATATATATATATATACACAATAGAACATTACTCAGCCATTAAAAAGAATGAAATCTTACCATTTGCAACAACATGAATGGATTTAGAGGGTATTGTGCTAAGCAAGATAACTGAGACAAATACTTTATTGATTTCACTCATATGTGAAATCTAAAAAAGCAAAACAAATGAACAAATATAAAACAGGAAGAGAGTTACAGACAGAGAACAAACAGGTGGTTGCCAGAGAGGAGCAGGATGGAGGGAGGAGAGAAATAAATGAGGGAGATTAAGAAGTACAAGCTTCCAGCTGTAAAATAAATGAGCAAAGTATGAAATGTACAACATGGGGAATTTAGTCAGTAACTATGTAATGTCTTTATACGGTGACATTATCACTGGACTTGTGATCAGTTTTAAATGTATAGAAATATCTAACCACTATGTTGTGCAAAAGGAATTAACATGTTGTAGGTCAATTTTACATCAAAAACAAACTCTAGGAAAAAAGATAACTTTTTGTTTTGAGACCAGGGGTTGGATGAGCAGTCAAAAGGTACAAACTTCCAGTTGTAAGATAAGTAAGTACTAAGGGTAAAATGTACAGGATAAATATACTTAACACATGAAAGTTTTTAAGAGTAAATCCTGATTTCTCATTACAAGAAAAATTTTTTTCTTTTATATCTATGTGAGATGATGGATGTTCACTAAACTTGTGGTAATAACTTTATTATGTTTATAAATGAAACCATTATGCTATACACCTTAAAAAAAAACCAAACAATTATTTGACTGTCTTGTAATAACCTAAATGGAAAAGAATCTGAAAAAGGATATATATACAAACACACACACACACACACACACACACACACATTTATGTATTATATATTAGGTTGGCCAAAAAGTTCGTTCGGGTTTTTCTCTACAATCTTACAAAAACCTTGAGCAAACTTTTTGACCAACCATATATATATATATATATATATATATATATATAATCACTTTGCTGTACACTTAAAACTAACATGACATTGTAATTTAACTATACTCCAGTTCTAAAAACTGTTTGAAAATATTACCAAGTGGTAACAGGTCTACAGGTCTAGCTGGCGGGGAGGGAGGCTTACCCATCACGAAGTTGGAGGTCAGTCTTCCACAGGTGCCCTCACTCAGGGAAGGATCAGGTCACTGGCTGTGTGCGGCCTGCAGGAGCAGTCCTGTTTCCTGTTGCAGGGAGGCCTCCTGCAGCGTTCTGTACTCACGGCCCCTCCCCAGGCAGAATGAACAACTCAGTCCTCTGCACTCCCCTAGCTCCCTCCCTTCCTGCTGTTCCAGACCGCCCTTGGAGGAGTCTAGGTTAAACTTACTCAGGTGAGCAAACAGCAGCAGCAAGAGATGTAAGGCAGAGGAAGGGGGAGGAAATTGAGGAAGAGTGGACGGGAGGAGGGCAGGTTTAGATCAAGCGCCTACTCATTCAGAGGACCCCAACGGGCGGCTCCACAGTGTGCTAAGATACAAAGATGAATGAGTGCACTCCTTGCATTCAGAGCTCCTAAGGGTGGGGTGGCCAGAAAAAAAAGTGGTTTCAATGTGATACTTACTAAAAGAAAGTGAGCAGGGGCTCAGAAAGAAAGGACTCTTGAGGACTGAGGGAGCTGGGAGTAAGAAGTGTGAAAGGACTGGGAGGCTGGGCAGTGCAGACTGGACAACTTACCAAACCCCATCTGCCTTGAACAGAGACCCTCTCCAGCTCCGGAATTCTAGCCGTGAAGCCATCAGTGAAGATTTTGTTGTTGTTTAGTCACTCAGTTGTGTCCGACTCTTTGCAACCCCACAGACTGTAGCCCGTCAGGCTCCTTTGTCCATGGGGTTTCCCAAGCAAGAATACCAGAGTGGGTTGCCATTTCCTTCCCCAGGGAATATTCTCAACCCAGGAATCGAACCTGTGTTTCTTGAGCTATCAGGGAAGCCGAGTGATTTTTTACGATCTGAATTATCCTAAATCCTGGTTTTCCTTTTGTCCCCCCATCAGAAAAGAGTTGATGGGAACAACAAAATGTGGCACTTGGCTTCTTACCACAATACAATCACTGTGGACCAATGTGGTGCCCCCAGAAGCATGGAACTGAATTCATAGGTGGCACATGGGCAGAGGGTGGGTAAGATTCAGGAAGTAGGAGGGGAGAAAAAAATAAAGAACGCTGGCTAATCTCCCAGGGTGACTGAAGCCCAGGGAATGCTTGGTTCCATGCTGACCTTCAGAAATGTTTCCTCTCCTCTGAGGCTGATGGAAATTTCTAGGGAATTGAAATGATCCTGCCCATCGAAAAGTCTTGCCAATTTTAGGGTGCTGTTCTGAGACTGGAGTTGAGCAGTTCCTGTGAATGACTCAGGTCTTCAGGACCACCTGCCTGGTAGGGCTGTCCCACGTATGGCAGGGTACCACGAATGACCGTGCTTGTCCCAGACCCCACCTGTTGCAGATTTCATGATGCATGACGGAACATGACTCAGGATGGCAGAGTAATAAATGAATAAGCATTGGAAACAAATAAATATAGACATATTTAGCCATCCAATAATAAATCTCCCACACTTGTACACATGTACAGACACACATATACTTCCAGTCACCAAGGCAACCATTTCCTGAAGCTGTATTTTGTTCTTTTCCATGTTAGGTATTTTTAACCTTACTTCCTAGGAGTGTAGCTCTGGAATTTTGAGTCTCTCCTGAGAAAGTACCTCAGTACACCTCCTTGGGACATGCTGGTACATCTAACATTTTCCAGGTCAATTTTGAAGGCTCATGTCTTATCCTCATTCAGACACTGCATTCAGCCAACACACCATTTGAAAATGCACTGAAAGCATCAGCAACACTAAATGACCATTACGATTTTTACTGTGAGTCAGAGAAATTAGGGATAAAGGTAGTGTTTGCCTTGCACAGTTTTCCCTGACAATTCTCGCTTTTAAAAGGGGGGGGCGGTGATCACAAAGTTCATGTGAAAAAGGAGCCAGCTTGGTTCCAAAAGATGGAGACAGAGTCTCAGGATTAAAAGGGACAGCTCTTATTTTGGAGGCAGGAATTTAGGACTACTGATGATTTAAGGGAAGTTGACATTTCTTTCCTTCTTATAACATATGTTACTCTTCAAATTAACCTCATTTTCTATTTTAGATTTCAATATTTTTAAATGCCAGCAACACAAAAGGGTCAGGAAACAGTTAAAACATCCTTACACAAATATTGATCTGACTTTTGACAACATCCATGTAATAAGCAGGGAAGTTTTTTCCTTTTAACATCACCAACGCGTTCATGATTAAAGGTGTCTGTGGCAACAGTTAATCTAATTTCATCTCTACGCTACAATCATTACTCTCTGCTTAAAAAAAAAAAAAAAAAGTCTTATTTGTCACTGGTCCAAAAAGTTCTCTGCATATCCTTCTGTCAGATTTCTGCCAGAGGGGGAATGGTACAAGTATTTAATTTACAGTCTTAATCCACTCTCATGCCCTGTCTCTTATTAAGCGTCGAGGCACGGTGGAGTGGAGAGGGAAGTCTTTACCATGAAACAATTGCTTGTAAAGTAGCTTAAGTGCAGAATTGGTGATGGTGCGGCCGGCGTTTATTATGCCCTGAACTAGGGCTCTGGTTTTCAAAACCCGAGACGGGAGAAAAGGGGGGAGCCACAAGGAAGACTGCACCCAGGTAATCTGGGTCAGTCTATCCATCAACGGAGAGAGGGGCAAGAGGCCAGAGGATGGAGAGACTCGGCTGGGTGCACAGCGGCCAAAACCCGGAGGAGGCGCAACCAGGAGCGGGAGGCGTGGGTGGGCTGCGGGCTAGGAGTGCTAGCCGGGCGCGCAGTCCTCCCACCCCATCCGTCCCTGCCAAAGAGCGGGTACCCGCGGGGGCCTGGAGGTGCGGGGTTTCCCCGAGGCTCGGGAATTAACTCAGTTTCCCTGAGGGGCTCTGGCTGGCCCACCCCCTCCCTGGGCCTGGGCGGGTCAGTCTGTCACAAGGCAGGTCCCGTCTGTCTGTCTGTTTGTATGTCTCCCGCCTCCCCCCTCCCACCAACACCGCCGCCGCCGTTCCGCACCGAACGCTCCGGGGGAACTGGGCTGCCCTGGCTGGCCCTCCCCTTCCCCACCTCTCAGGCCCCCGCCGCCCCTCGCCCTCGCCGCGCCCCCTACCCGTCCCCGATTCAATCTCTCCCCCGCATCCTCCATGCGGGCGCGCTGCGGACCGGGGGACTCAGGAGCGACGGCCTGGGAATGGGAGGGGGGCGAGGGGTGGATGGCTCCCAGGCTCTTGCGCACAGATCCACTCCCCGTTATTTATTCCTTCATGCCTTCTTCCCTTCTCCCTCCCTCCCTCCCTTCCACCTTTGTTCGACTCAAACATCCCGGGGAACCTTGGAAGGGACCCCCAAGTTTTCTGACCACTTGTTTCTAAAGCAGTGGAGCTGGTGACAACCAAGAACCGTTGCTGTTAAGAATGAAGGAAGTGTCCTACTTGGTTTGGGGAGTAGGGAGTAGGGCCTTGTAATTTCTGAGAGAGTTGGACCGGACTCTGTGTCGCTAACACCCTTTCCAAGTTCTGCGGCTTTGAACGTTGTTCTCAAGAAAGCAAAAGAGCTTCAGGAACCTCAGGGAGCCAGGAGCAGTCCCTCTGGATCTGCTATAAGGCATGGCTGGCTTCTCTCCAAACCCATTCCCAGGGTTCGTACCCCAACTGTCAGCCTTTCATTCCGTGGCGCCCGCTCAGCTCTATGTGCTTGGTGGGAGCTCTGCTCGAGCTCAGACTTGGGTAAGCCAAAGGATTCCCTTGTCCCAAAGGAACCAGAACACACTGGGAAAGGAATGAAACTGCCTTTAGGAGACAGCTAAGAAAGAAGGGTTGAAAGAATAAATCCTCAATGACTAGGCTCTGCCAAAATGTCATAGTGTTGAATAAGATTGTTTTCATTCTTCCAAAATTATATATATATATTATTTTTTTAGTCGAAATAAATCTGATGTACAGTATTATGTTAATTTCAGGTGTACTAGATAGCATTTGACATTGGCATCCATTATGACATGATCACCATGATAAGTCTAGTAACCATCTGTCCCCATACAAAGTTATTACATTATTATTGACCATATTCCTTGTGCTGTATATTACATCCTTGTGGCTCATTTATTATATCACTGAAGGTTTTTGCCTCTTAATCCCTTTCACCTATCTCACCCACCTTCTCACCTTCTGCCCACCTGGTGACCATTCTTTTGTTCTCTGTATCTATGAGTCTGTTTTCAGCTTGTTTTGTTTGGGTTTTAGATTCCACGTATAAATAAGATCATACAGAATCTGTCTTCCTCTGACTTATTTCACTTGCTTCAATATTCTCTAGATCCACCCACACTGTTGCAAATGGCAACTTTTCATTTCCTTTTTAATGATTGAGTAATATTCCATTGTCTACATACCAGATCTTCTTTGTCCATTTTTCTGTTGAAAGATGCTTACATTGCTTGTACATCTTGGCTATTGTAAGTAATGCTGAAATGAACATAGGGGTGCAAATATCTTTTATCTCTTCATTTAGCTGCGTCAGGTCTTGGTTGTAGCATGCAGGATCTTCATTGTGTCATGCAGTGTCTTTCATTATGGCACACAGGCTCTCTAATTGCAGTGCATGAGCTTAGTGGGATCTTAGCTCTCTGACCAGGGACTGAACCCCCATCTCCTGAATTGCGAGGCAGGTTCTTAACCACTGGACCACCAGGGAAGTCCCCATGTGTCTTTTCAAATTAGTGTTTTTGTTTTCTTCCAGTAAATATCCAGAAGTAAAATTGCTGGATCATATGGTAGCTTCACTTTTACTTTTTTGAAGATCTCTATACTGTTTTCCATAGTGGTTGTACCAATTTACTTTCTCATTACCAGTTCATAAGGGTTCCCTTTTTCTCAACCCTTGTTATTTGTTGTCTTTTTGATGACAGCCATTCTGGCGAATGTGAGGCTATATCTCACTGTGGTTTTGATTTGTATTTCCTTAATAATTAGTGATGTTGAGCATCTTTTCATGTGCCTGTTGACCATCTGTATGTCTCCTTTTTTTTGAGAATTAAAAAATGAATTTATTATAATAAAATATATATAAAAGTTTGTCACTTAACCCACTTAGTGTATGTCTTCTTTAGAAAAATGTCTGTTCAGATCCTCTGCCCATTTTATGTTGACTTCTATGAGTTCTCTGCATAGTTTGCGTATTAAACCTTTAATGGATAAATTGTTTATAAACATCTTCTCCCATTCAGTAGGTTACCTTTTCATTTTAGTTTCCTTTGCTGTGTGAAAACTTTTAATTTTATGTAGTCCTGTTTGTTTATTTTTGCTTTTGTTTCCCTTGTGTGAGGAGACAGATCCAAAGAACTATTGCTAAGACCAATGTCAAAGAGCATACTACGTATATTTTCTTCTAGGAGTTTTATAGTTTCAGATCCTTAACTCATTTTGAGTTTATTTTTCTGTATAGAGTGAGAAAGTAGTCCAGTTTCATGCTGATGCATTAAGCTATTCAATTTTCCCAACACCATCTACTGAAGAAGCTGTCTTTTTCCCATTGTGTTTTCCTGGTTTCTTTGTCATAGATTAATTAACTGTATAAGCATGGGTTTATTTCTGGGCTCTCTATACTGTTCCACTTATTTATGGGTATGTTTTATGTCAGTACCGTACTATTTTGATTACAGTAGCTTTGCAGTATAATTTAAAATCAGGACTTGTGATACTTCCACCTTTGTTCTTTCTCAAGATTGTTTTGGCGATTTGGGTCTTTTGCATTT